GACCCCCGGCCCCCGGTGTCACCCCTGGGCAGAGACTGAGCGGGCTGTCCTTACCATGGGGAGCAGGGAGCTCCTCAGAGCCGCGATGGGCACCGGCCTGTGCTCCCCGGAGGCGTTTTTAGAATCCACAGCCACCACGTGCAGCTCGTCCCTGGCCTCGGCCCCCAGGCAGATCTGCAGGGCCGAGCACAGAGCCCGTAGCAAGGAGCCGGGGGCCCGAGCTCCGCCAGGGCCCTGCCCAGGGCTCGGATCTCACCGTTCTCAGCAGCACCAGGTGCTCCAACAAGTCATCGTCCTCCTTCACCACGCAGCTCCGGGCGCCCGTGGCCAGCCGGCAGCCTGGGACAGACGGCGGGGTCCACGCACGCACAGGCTGCCCCCTCCCAGGAGCAAAGGAAAGGCGTTCCCCCCACCCGACACCAGAAGGGAGGCTTTCTCCCGTGGGAAAGGGGGATGACAGCCAGCCCGGCTGCCTGCAGAGCACAGCCACCATCCCCCAGCTCATCCCGGGGCTGCCAGCTCCGTACCCCAGAGCGCAGCCACGGGCCGATCCTCTGACTGCGAGCGCGAGAAATAAAACGAGCTGTTCATCCTCCGAGGCAAATGCAACAGCCGAGACCACAGCAGCCGCAGGGCAACGAGCCCTGCCCTCACAGCGGCTGCTAATAAAGGAAAGGGGGATCCCAGGAGGTGCAGGTGGGGAATACAGAGCAGGTGCGGGGGGCTGGGGGCGGCATCAAAGCACCCACCACCCCCTCACATCCCCCAGCAGCACCCACAGCCCACCGGAGCACACTTAAGCTTGATTAGAGATGAGGCCACCAGCGAGACCCCTGCTCCCCGGGACCCCTGATACCCCTGTTCCCCGGGACCCCTGTTCTCTGGGACCCCTGAGACCCCTGCTCCCCGAGACCCCTGCTCCCCGGGACCCCTGATACCCTTGTTCCCCGGGACCCCTGTTCTCCGGGACCCCTGAGACTCCTGCTCCCCGGGACTCCTGCTCCCCGAGACCCCTGTTCCCCGGACCCCTGTTCTCTGAGACCCCTGTTCCCCGGACCCCTGTTCTCTGAGACCCCTGTTCTCCAGGACCCCTGAGACCCCT